CGTTATGCGGACTTCCTATAACAGTGTTTGGCTGTTACGGTCATTGGAAACTCCATAGATCAGCTGTCGAGTTGGCATGTAACCAACCAGGTTTTACATGGAAGCGGTTGGTAATCATGAGGTAGCGTAGCAAGCTTTGAGTGGGAAACCGTTACTATCGTCATGCCTAAATGGTCTTCCCCAGGTAGTCAATTCAGGCGACTGTCGTTTTTCTCCACATCCCATCATCAGTGGCATCATCCAAAAGAGGGTGTTTCGTGCTCCATTGTTTCTACTTTACATCGAGGACATCATCACATCAGTAAATCATTGTCCGAGAATTTTTATCCACCGATATCAAGATGATATCAAGATCGTCTCCAAGCTTCGGCGTGACGAACTTAACAGAAAGCTACTCCTCATTCAAAATGACTTACATTCCCATTGTGTCAAGGCGTCACATGTGAGTGACGACCCTCCTGACTACGAAATCAAATCTCTGGCTGCTAGCGCTGGGGCAAAGGTCATGAGCCCCAAGGAAGCTTAAGAGCTACTGTCGGTTGCCTGCGCACACAAAGAGTGGGGTGGTAACGAGGTTGTCTTCCTAAGTCGTTACCGCTCCACATTTTGTGTGCAAAAGCAACTGACAGTAGCCCTTAAGCTTCTTTGGGTCTCATAACCATTGCATCAGCGCTACCAGCTATTGTTTTGTGTGCATTTTTTGACCAATTCAAAACGATTGTTTGCTTCTCTTACGTGATGTATATATGTTGTTAGTCGGTGATTGATCAGATAACACGAACTGGTACTATCTTGCAGTGCTCTTCTTGTTGTTTTGTTCTAGTCTCATACCTTGCGGTTATTCCATCCCCGAAGAATCTAGCACATCAAATAGTGAGCACTTCTCTACACTGCTGTCCACGCGTGATCTTGGAGTTAGTTATTCGCCTATTTTCAATTTCTACGAAGAGACCAAATACCAAGCAGCACGTGCCAGACAAACTGAGTTCAATATATCCAAGGAAATCCACACAACCATGCTAGGGTTGAGCGATTTAAGCTATTTACTAGCCCAATCCTCGAATACCACAACATAATATATGGCGATATAAAAAGTGGCATAATTGTTCTGGAAAACTTGCAGATGTGGTTTACTAAACATCCGCTTTGTAAGCACACTGCCATGAATTATCGAGAGCTTTGCAAAGAAATTCAGCTTGAACAAAGATGGACTCGAAGACTGAAGAACAGCTTGTTGCCTCTCTGCAACCTGAGACACAAAAGACCTATCCCGATCTGCGTACTCTCGAACTACAACCTAGCTCAATTCGAAGCTTCGCAGTAAAGATTTTACACTGAATATACCAAAGGCTAGAATGATCATTCGCTCTAATTGAATCTTGACCAGATGTAGCTATCTATTGAGTAAACTAGCAATCACACTCAATTCAAGGGATAATGTTGCAACATTCAGCAACCGACTCCTCAATTACCTTGACTTAAGTACCATAATTGCTATATTCACATGGGAAAAATCCCTCGAGGAGCTATTCCACGAGGGACCCATAAACATCTAAACGCTAAACTTTACAAAACTAGGCTTTTGCCTCAACGATCCATTAGAAGGTAACTACATGAAATGCATACCCAAAATTCCACGTATGCATATTACCGTGCAAGAGCATGGAGAATTTTTGTACCAACTGAGCTGTGCCGCTACAGACAGTTTATCGCATCAAGAGAATGATCCTTAAAACAATTATAATTCAAGGGTTCTCCAATTAGTTGTTGTATTCTGGAGAACACATATTTGCAGTAAACCGACACATTTGGAAACCTAGAAGGGAGTGAAGGTATTGAAGACATCTCCAACTGACTTACGTCCATGGAGGGTCAAAGCACTGGGTTGCCGCTGTTCCTCAATCACAAGCAGGAGATGAGGTAATTTCAAAATGAATTCCTTGTTAAGCGAAGAGTGTAGACTGGCAACTACGTTCAACACTTTTCCGAAGAAATACTTTGCAATGGAGCCAGACACCCTAAGTACGTCTTGCTTCTGCAACTGGCCGAAAATAATGGAGAATGAGTCAAAAATTTCTTGGGGGTGTCCTAGACACAGAATGTTAAATCAAGAACGCCGTAAGTGAAAACACACGTTTGTAGCAAGTTGGTTCACATCCATCGACAGTACGACCGCCAAATACAAACCAAAAATAAACGCCGTTCCATGAAACATAGTAGACCCGACAAGTCCCAGCATCTTACCGGTCGGCCACTGTCTCAGTTGTTCGAGGTAGGCTGTTAGTTTATGTGAGGTTCGTCGCAGCCAGTTTCCAAATCAGCTAGTCCTCCACATGCCTGGAAAAGCACTAGACTGCAGTTACAGCCTGTTGGGCATCGTCAGCAGTGCGCATCCATCGGATCCATAAGGATTCGAACCCATGACCACTAGCGGCTTGAACCGCCAGTCAGCAGCTTATGCGACTGGGCCACTTAATTACATCAAAATCCCCTACTCATGTGTGTTAGTTTATCTGCCTGGATGCTTGTTCACTCAGGCGTACGCGTGCATCCTTCCCCTTCTGACATGTCCGTAGGCCAGCGCACAAGCATGTTTTTGAGCGTTCGCATACCGCCTACGTGTCATTGGTGGCTCAAACCACTTGGCACCCACACGGCTGTCCACTTTTGGCATCAAACTGGGATCGTCACAGTTCCAAGTGAGGTAGTTTTCCTCTCGATCGGAAATTGCAATCGGCGGGATCTCGACCTATCGGGAAGCGTCAGTAGCGCGCATTCATTGGCTACACCATGGATCGAACCGCTGATCTCTCGTCACCATGGAATCACGCTACCGGCAAACAGCCTATGCCACTGGGTCATGGGTTACCACGGCAGACTGCAATGTCTTCAGAATGAACTGCTATTCATTCAAAGTCCACATGTTCTGTCGAAAGTCCCACGTTCTAATCCTCCTCGAGGTTATGGTTATCGATCAACAGCGCCCACCACTCCGTGTCCAAAAGCATATGACTGACGCTAAGCCTGCCGTGTTAGCGAGTAACGCACCAAACTTAAAACAGTCGAACAAAAATCGACTTGATGCCAGCTTATTTTGATTCCTTTTTTATTTGCATGTACGTGACGGACGAGAATGCACGCAATGACAGTGTCTTTCCACAACATTGTTCTTCGGCTATTCTTATTTAAAACAATTAATGGAGTTTCATATTGCATACTGTCATAGAGGTTGACGCATCCACCACTGCCAGGAGAGTTACAAAGGTCGACGAGGACTGTATTTACCCCTGGACCCAGGGCTTACCTTGACAGCAGCTACATACGATATGGAATGTAGGGCGAATGTCTTGACTAATCGTGAAGAGTCAAGCCAAGTCAATAATTCGCTTTTATGCACCCATGTAGGGTTAATTTTTCATGCAGTTGCTAACTCTGCAGTATCATTTTGCTTTGAACCCAACGCGATACTACTCATCTGTTTCACTTGTCTATGGAGTACCGCCCATTTTCGTGAGAATACAAAATAAAAGTCCAAATAGCGAAGAGATCTCTTTTCGGTTATTTTCATCAGGCTAGTACAGGACTAAGAAAGTATACAACTTGGTAAGCTGCTGTCAGCTAAGCTGAGGACAGCTAAGCCAAGCATTTAAGCGGAGTTAGTAGGTCAGATCGATGCCTATGTCGATTCACTTTGAATAGGCCTCGCTGCCGATTGTACGCCGCAGCTGAGAGGCCTACCCCTAACTAAATCAATCCAGACGTCCATCTGACTTACTGACTCCGATTAAACTCTTTCCTTAGCTGTCCTCAACGTAGCCGACAGCAGCTTAGCACGTTGTGTGCTTTCTTATTCCTGTAATAGCCTGTTGAGGATAATCGAAAAGAGATCTCTTCGCTTTTTGGCCTTCTTAAAATGGTCATTATTCATGAGTAGAAAATAAAATGGAGCTGACGTCGGCTATTTCATCCCAGCGATCTGTTGTTTGAAACTGAGCCGGAGCATCAAATTAGATTAACTGCTTTTCTTGGCAATGTCGCGTACTTAGGAACCCTACCGAAGGCCTACCATGACGTACGGCATCGCGTCTGAGTGAATACATTCTCTGATGGATTAATAGGTCGTAAGAGGTAATAATATACAAGCGATGGGCTGCTTTCAGTGCGTTGCTAGTGTTCTGAACCGCTATAGTATGTGTTAAATTGCCAAGTCAGTAGATTGTACCTGTTGAACTTTGTACTTTAAACTTCCACCATGAGGAGAAAACAAGTTGAAACATTTTTTAGTATTTTTCACGCTTAGCTGTTTTCTGTCGTACTCTCCCCCTCCTATTCTAATCTCCATTTTCAAGGTATGCTACCTATTCTTCATGTGCCTGTATCGTATCGGATTTTCCGCTCGTAGTCAAAGCTTGTAAAAAGTTTATGCAAAGTTGGGATTGACCTGCCTTGGTAACTGTATACCGACATCGGAGGAGTTAGGAAGTGTTTTAGTCGGCATCACTAAAAAGAATGAATTAGTCTACTTGAACTAGGTTAGTGTTCACAAATGGCAGGCAATAACGCATTCAGAAGTGTACAGATGCAGATTCTTGACAACACTTGATCCACACTCTATCTTCTAAACGCGAACGTTAGTATGCATCCTTTGCGCCAGTAAATTAGTGCTAGATGCTGTCCCACTGACATTTTGCAAAGAATGTGAACGAAACCTATATAAGACCTGGGTCGCAACTGGATCAATACCACCAGCAATGGTTTTAGGAACACACGCCTCAGGGAGTTTTCAGAATAAAGTTTATTGAATAAGTTATTATTTCACTAAAACACCTAGGTAGCTCCATGTTTGGCAAACCCATCCAACAGTGTGCTAATGCAACCAAAGTAATTTCAGTGTAGTTGAAAGGGTAAACTGCCTTGATTATCCTCAGGACATCTGAGCCTAATAGCGTCACTTCACAAGGTAAAAGATGATCTCACAAATCACCTTCTTCTATTTCAAGGCACCCCTTTGCGGACTGTTTGCGTTGTGGAGCGCTCTAATGTTCAGTTTTCCGCACTTGTCCACTTTGGATGCGAACGCGCTGAAGGTGGCCTACGCATTTTGGATTTGTTGCATGTTCTTCTGTATCAGTGGTAATCTGGTCTTCGTCCCAACAGGGTGTAGTACACTGTTCGGCAACAAACATTGGGCGGTGAATTTTGGAGCTATATTCACCGCTTGCGTAAGTACTTATTATATATTGTGCAAATATGCTCGGTGTCGACTTACTTTTGGGGACAGTAATAGTCATTTGCGTGAATGGCCACAGTTCCATGTGCCGATGCAACTTGGCGTCCTATGACCAGGCTCCAGCTGTACTATATTCTATTGATTCTCTTTTCTATACCCAATTCCCCGATGAATTAAGTTGGTCATTGTTGCTTCTTCTACAATACCTGTTATGTAGATGTATAAATACAAACAAGCTAAGCCTGGTTTGTCATTCCCCGTTAAAGTGTATTTCGGTCATTTCGTCACTGGAACCATGTCTGAAACAATTAAATGTCAACGACAACCATGCACGCCGTAGCCGATTGTATTTGGGGTTGTGTAAGCCAGGCGTATTTGTTAATTGCGGTTTGAACCCTTGAAGTTGAGCTGGGCTGAAAATACATTTGTCCACATGTTACGGAGCTGATAGGTCACAAAGGGTCATAGTGTCAAACAATTCATAGTACAGGTCATTTTGAAATGCCAGATTTTGATTTGAGGAATAGAGTAACCCAATATTAAGAGTATTAACATGGGATTTTTATTTATGTGCAAGGGCGGACAGTTAACCAGAGGGATGGAACACAATAAAATTAACAAATCATTCGAACACACCGTTTGTCATGCGACGATGTACGCAAAATAGTTACTTGCAAAATTTCCTGACGTGACTGAAATACTGAGCCGGCTCACTTGCAAGTAAAGAACTTGTGCTTTTTCCGCTACATGTGTACTAGTTATTTAGGAATTGTCTAGGATCCTAGTTGGTTGCCGTATGGCTATATTCCTGCTGGTACCTATCATAAAACCCTAAATGTTCACATGTTGCCAAACGTTGCAGGTCGGTGGTGTGCTTGTGACCCGGAAATTACTTGAAATAGCGTACATTTCTTTCAGATAATTGGTAGTGCGATTTCCGCTGGATTGTCATTTCTGCCAGCCAAACCCAACGGCCTAATGTATCAATTCACCATCGGTGGAGTAAGTTGCTCGATAGGTGAGTGCTTTTCGTAAAACTTCACGAGTTTTATTAACTGGATTAACTAAAGTTGCTTTAATAGGTACCCAAAAGCAATCGTACGGTACAAGAAAAAATAGTCAAAACGACGTAACCCGAGCATTAAACTTGCCGGATATGAGAAATATCGTGCGGAAGTAAAACGGTGATTGGAGAGAAAATTAGCGTTTTAGCCTAGCGCTGTCGTGGGGTTTATTAGGTCTGTGGTAGATCAAGCAGTTTACAAAGACAAGTAAGTGAACGCTTATCTGATCGATGAAATCCTCTAAAGATATTCTCTAACGGTCTGATCTTCTTTTGTCTCAAATAAATTAAATTCGTTTTAATACTTGTGAGTAGCAGGAGTTTAGTTGTAATTATTGTAAGGTATTCATCCCGACAGTTCACAAGCCACATAGCACAGCCTAGTCGCCCCATTGGGGATCGTTAGTGGTACGCATCCCTTGGGTCCACTAATGGGATCGAACCCATGACCGCTAGAGGCAGATGCCGATTAGCCAGCAGCTTAAGCCACTGAACCATATGGACGTTGGCTGGACTACATAATTTGCAAACTAACTGGGATATAGCACCATCAACCTTCCACTGTCTCTGACAGTGGCTAGCCTGCGAGGTGATGACGTCTTCTCACTAGACGCTATATCCATAGCATCTGAAACTAGGAGAGACAGAGACAGTGGAAGATAGGTGGTGCTATATCCCAGTTAGTTTGCAACTTATGTAGTCCAGCCAACGTCCCCATGGTTCAGTGGCTTAAGCTGCTGGATAGTTGGCATCTGCCTGTAGCGGTCATGGGTTCGATCCTCATTAGGGGACTGAGGGAGGGCGCACCACTGATGAGTCCCAACAGGGCGAAACGCGTCTGGCGCTTTTCCGGACTAGGCTGTCTACGTAGCTTGTGAACCATCGGGATAAATACCTTACAATAAAATGGTTTTTAGCAAGCGAGCCAAACCGAACACGATGCATGGCTGGTGATTGTGGGAGTTTGGGACTTAGCCAAGAGACGTGGCGCTATTGAGTCTTAGATAAAATGGAGATGTGTGTTGACCCGAAAGCTACTCATTTGGAGAAACTGAGCAACGTTGTGTAATGTGTGACAAAGCCAAGGCTTAACAGATGGTTAACATGTAAATAGAACCACAAACATTGGCTGATTCAACTTAGTATAGTGTGCACTGGTGAAATCACTAAAATTCGCGCTTGATGAGAAGTCGAATTCCACTCGGGTGGGATTTGGTGAGGTGCACCGTTTGGCTGTCGTAATTGGTCTCCTTGTGGATACGGATACTAAAACCAAAAGCAAATGGTTCAATTCGCCATCAAGTCTTTATTAAATAGCGGCCCCTTGTGGGAACATGCAAAGTTGGCGGGGAGGCCGTTCCATGGGTGTCACACTCGAAGGGTGAAGTAATTCCAACAGCATTCCAGCCGGCCATAACAAGTAGCTACCTTTAATTGATGATTTCTATGCCTAGCGTTTTGACTGATGTTAGGAGGAGCGCAAACGTCGTAAGCTTTTTTTAAGATGAGGTAAATCATGGTGGCGTCCCCTGCAGGCACCAGGATCAATTGCTGTACACTCCTAAGAATTTTCGTCCAACTTGTTAGGGAATATAAAGGAAGCTCGTAGCGTGTTTAGTTGCACTCACTTGTGGATTCGGTGACGCAGTGAGATCTTCTTCCTGCGACAATAGCCAAGCATAAGGAGTTTTCCTCAGCTCTCACTGGTTTTCAACCATTTTCATTTATGCCACTATCTCATTTTCAGATTCTAGCATCGACATCATTTATCTAAATATGGCGTTAACCGGCTCGTATATTTTTGTCCATGTGGTCTCTGTGTCAGCTTAAAGTGAAAGCAACGTTCGAAATACGCAGTGGCTTAATTCCTTAGAGGGTTTCTGAAACATATACCAAACTTAGCGCAGCCGATGTTTCCAAATACGCTTGTTGTTAGGACCATAAGAGTTATGTCCAATAATTGGCATAAGCACGCAGAAATGGCCGTCTTGAGTTACGGTTTTTGAAACGGTTTGCTCACTAAGCTGTGAAGTTTAACTGCAGAGGTTTAATCATCAATCAATATGACATCTCCAGTACGTAGTCGTAGTGGTATAGGTAATAGTAGCAGTATTGATAACAGCTTTGATAGCGGAAGCTGCGTTTTACACTAGTCCGGGACGGAAGCAGCACGTTAGAAGGCTTATCCACATCCGCATTGGCTGCTGCATATTATATTCGTCAAAGCTTGGGTAGTTTACTTTAGCTGCTGTGAAGTTTTGTTGTGATGTGGGTCGACGCCTTTTACTCTCATTGGTGCAAAGAGCAAATTAGTCATAGACGCAGCTACAAAGTCAGTTCTGTAGCTTCCTTTTGCTTCAAGCGTGCGTTCTCAGTTTGCTAGATTTCTTTCTGAATGTTTGTAGGCAGATTCGGGGTTAGTGTGAATGTTTATCGAGTTCCTCGCAGTGAATGAGGCTTGGAGAAACTCCACACATTTTACTTTTTGCTCTAGCATCTTTTATGTTTCATTCAAACTTGTGTTCTTCTTCATCGACGTGATACAAATAACTTGGCATGGCAATTTTCGCAGGCACGTTTGTGCTCTTCTTTTTGTTGGCAAGTCCATCTCTGTCTTTTGGTTTGCTTATGATAATCAGCATCACTACGCACTCTTTTTGATGGAATTCACTCAGTTTGCCTCTTCTTGATGATAGGCTCCATTCAAAGTCATCGACCAACCAAAGAGAGTGGCCATATAGTGACCGCGGTATAACTCATTTACTACCGACATATTCCCTAATATTGTGCTGAGATCTTGATTGGTCGTTTGACAACTACTACCTTGGATAACCCGGTAATCACGTGGGCCACGGCGAGCATGAAGTTCACCGAACCGGTAAAAGTGACCATGCTCTTTGACTAATGCCGGCAGCTATTCAATAGTCTCAGCCAAGGCAGATGAAATAAGCCCCTGTCGCTCATGGTTGCCCTTCGTTGAGGAGTCTTGAGAGCAACAAAATCCAGTTTCTGCCAAGGCCGCTACACCAGAATAACATATACCGACTGCGGTCGCACGTAGGAGTTAAGCGTTTTGGGGAGGATTAAGGGTTTAAACCGTTCGAACGCCCTGCGAGAAAGGCCAAAGTATTGGTTGCCGGTTCTTCACAACTTTACTGCTTATTATGCGCACCCAAGTTCTTCCTGTACGAATACACCCAGGTCAATCTCTAGAAAAACCTTTTGTAAGATGTGATCTCCAAACTTTCAAAAGGTTCGCCGGCCGATGACGCAGTTGCATCATCTTGTACTTAGATACGTTCAAATGAAGCAGGCTCATTTTGACAATTCATAAGTGCAATCTAGATCATGTTGGAGTAGATCGTGATCTTCAATGTTACTAACTGACCGCCATATCTTGATGTCATCGGAGAAAATCAGGAAGTTCGAGAAGACAAGTCTTGCCAGGTCGTTGCAAACACAAAGAACAGGCACGGTAACAGCACCGAGATATGTGGAACATCAGATTCCAATTAAACCGGGTTAGAGAGTGATCTCCTAACATGCATTAGAAGCTGCCATTGCTGAAGAAGGTTTCCAATCCAACCAACAACGGGGTCTTCGATTCCGTAGCTTTGTAGCCTGTGAAGTAGGATGCGGTGCTCTAGGCGGTTGAAAGCTTTGAAGAAGTTCAGAGAGATGACGTCAACTCCGACCCCATCATCAGCCACTACCGTCCATCTCGTGCCATCAGCAGGTTGGTGGTGCATGACCAAAGCTGACGGAAGCAAACAAAATTGCATATGTTTATGCTTAAAAACGAAAACCACCATGCGCAACTGTCCCACCATTTTTAAATTCTCATATGAAGAATCTGCTGACCAATTATTTCGTAGTCAATCTGGGATTACATAACAAAAACACAATTTGAAGGCTTAGTGATGAGTCTAGACCGGACATATCTACAACGTGCGCTTCATATTCTTGACATTAGTTCACTACAAATAGGGGATACTCAGGAAAAAGCTGCCCTTCCAACTTTTCTCTGAATAAAAGCAGTGGACCCAAGGACTCTGATGCCGACCTTGATAGTCCCTGTGTAGGGGTAATTACATCGAACTCTAGGGCCCGGCCTCTATCGCCAAGCCCCCTTTGCATCCAACGATCAGTGTGGAAACCCCTGATTCTGGCACTAGACTTCCGAATCACTGCACCTCTATCGATATGCGGGCATGAAAAAATTTTATTGGTCAAGGAAAGCCCATTGAAATAGGTCTTAATAACGGTATAAGCATTGTTGTGTACGAAAGGTCAAATGCACGAGCCATAGTAAAAGTCACTCCGGTAAACGAACTGCTGTACTTTGATACATGTCTAACTGAGTGAGTACATTAAGGCGTCGCAAAGAGAAGGATGAAGCAATAGAGAAGCAGAGAGTTAGACGCTTTGTGTGTGTGTGCCTGGGGTTGCGTGCATGTGTCTGTTTAGACTAGCCGTCACGAATGCCGACAGAATACACAACATCACCTATCCGCTTGGTCATATGATGCGTCGAAACCATATCGGTTCGGTCGTCTTTGTTCTCGGCTCGTCCTGCGGAGCTGCGTGCTTTGCGCAGTTTCGTTAGTGAAGGTGCGTGACACATACTCTCTGATACTTGTGAATAATCTCCGAGCCTTGACTGTGCGGCCATCCTCCAGCCGGTAGGTGCCTGGCCCAGATGCACGCCTTATTCTTATCGGATCTGATAACGTGGGCTGTCCCTTTGATGAAGCTTTTAGCTTCACGCGCTCCAATGTTCCGGGCTGGAGCGGAGTGGTAAGCTTCTGGTAAGTGGTCTGATATCGATGGCGACGATCTAACTCGTCGGACTTATTGGTTGTAGGAATAGAAATTGCGGCATTCAACTTTGTCCGAAGGGCAGGCCCAAGCATGAGTTCAGCTGGCGTTTTGTCTGTGGCTCCGTGGTGTGCGTT